CTATTACACTGGTCTACAAGGGTTTTGCGAATAAGACGGGACCTGGTGTTTCCGAACGGATTTTTCGTGCTGAACACGAATCTGGGGTCCAAAACTTCCCATCACGTCACGTTTTCGAGAAAAAAGGGGTTGAAACCCCTAAAAACAGCGTTTTTGGCCATTTTTGAAAAATTGTAGAGCTGAACCCTGACGTGCTACAAACTTTGTATATGTCAGAAATTAAAGGCTAAATCGTGCCCTTTCGAATGAGCCCTATGCCGAATTAATCGCATGCACCCTTAGATCAGGGGGTGTATTTGTGTCTAGGAGTCCAATTTTTATATCCACCATATTCGACCCGTCATCTTAAATTTTTAAAATCTAACTGCAGATTCGTAATCAGCGACTTTTAATATAGTTAAAACCTTGGCATTATTAATTTTCTATGATCGTTTAAGATTAAATTCTTTCTGTGATCAATTTTTCCTGCACCCCTAAACACAAATACACCCCCTGCTTTAAGGGTGCACGCGATCAATTCGGCATAGGGCTCATTCGAAAGGGCACGGTTTAGCCTTTAATTTCTGATATATGCAAAATTTGTACCACGTCAGGGTTCAGCTCTATAATTTTTCGAAAATGGCCAAAAACGCTGTTTTTAGGGGTTTCAACCCCTTTTTTCTCGAAAACGTGACGTGATGGGACATTTTTGACCCCGGATTCGTGTTCAGCACGAAAAATCCGTTCAGAAACACCAGGTCCCGTCTTATTCGCAGAAAAAAAGTTGAAATTTGTAGACCAGTGTTATTTTTTATTTATTAGCAATCATATTGTAATTTTGGTCATGATTTTTGACTAAAAGTAAAAAGAGAAAATATGTACGACCAAAATTGAATTTCAAAAACCTAAAAAATATTCCAAATATTAGTCACAGTTATAAGCGATCAAAGTGACATATTTTATCTAAATCCGTGTAGCCGTTTTTTAGTGAAGAGAGGCCCCGCTTAGTGCAGGTTTTTAATTTCAAATCACCCTTTACCGATAAGATCTTGATTAAAAAAAAAATAAAACTTTATCGCACTATATCTTTAATTTGACCACTCATTTTTGAATTTTAAAAGAACGCACAATATCTAATGACTATCACATAAAATACCTTCCCGTATACTACACATACATATACCTATACTTTTAGATCGATATGTTTTTTTTTCGATAAGTTGGCCAGCCTAATTAAAGATATTTTCAAACTAAAGCTTTCATAAATTTCTTTTGATTTACACCCACATCTAAATATTTCATAAAACTTGTGTATACGTTAACTAAATTCGGCTTTTCAAACAGGTGGAAGTCCTTTTCAAAAGTTATTTCAAACTAAAATCTTCTTAAACAACTTTCCCCTGACATTGTGATACACATGTGTTTCAATAGCGGATGATCTAATTTGAATTTGATTGTTCAAACACGTTGCAACCCTCCTAAATCTGTGATCATAAGCAATAATCGCCTTAGTCGAAAAACCTGAAAACGCTTTAAAGATTTGGATTGTAATGTTAACCTTATGGGGAAACCAACATATTTTCATTTATAACTTTTTAAATAGAATAGGTAACGTGAAACTCCCACGTAAACATGTAATAATAGTTGGAGAAAACGATAGCATACATAACTCAATTCTTTCTTAAGTCGACTTAGGCGTTTTTGCTTGCGACCACAGAATAAAGGTCAGAAATAAAGAGTTTTCAAACCAATTTCGATTGACACCCATCCTTTAATAATTCGTCGAACTTATTGAATAATTTGAATGTAACTTTTTAAACACGTGGCAGCCCTTCTCAAACGTTCCAAGTTTTCAGACTAAATATTTATTTAAGTATTTATATAATTCACATAAATTTTGTACTCGTTAATTAAATTAAACCTTTCAAACAGATGGCAGCCCTCTTGAAAAGTATTTCCAATCTAAACTCTTGTTAAGGCTCCTTTGTCTAACATGGCGATACATATTTTAATTAAGTTATAAATTAAGTTGAGTTTGATTTTTAGACATGTGGAAACTCCACTAAATATGGTTCAGAAACAAAGATTTATTTATTTATTTATTTATTTATGTCTAAAGTTGTAAGTGGTACAGACATTATGAAAAATTACAAGCTAAATTTTTGGTACAATTTGAAGCGTTAAATGAACTAAGAGTAAATACAATAAAGGCTAATATAAATTTTTGCACAATAAATAGTTTTTCAATTTAGTATAGATAATTGATTTTGATTCCGACAAGTCAAGATCCAAAAATTTTGAGAAACAGTTGTACTCGGTCAAAGTCCTGACAATGGGGGCATTTGCATTGTAAACTGTTTTATTTAAACCAATACGAAAAATATCAAAGCGACGAAGGTTTCTACTCGGCACGGTGAAATCTATCAACCCGAGAAGGGACGAGCAGTCGACTTTACCCAAGACAATGTCAAGAAGAAATGACACGGACAGAAGTGAGCGTCTATTGTTTAATGTTAATAAACTAATCAATTGGCAACGCGACTCGTAAGGTGGAATCGGTTCAGAAAAATTTAAAGTGTGCAGAGCAAAACGTAGGAATATTTTTTGCACTCTCTCCAAACGATTGATGTGAATAGCGTGATACGGTCTCCAGATAAACGCGGCGTATTCCAGTTTAGACCGTACAAAGGCAGTGAACAAAGTCTTAAGTGTGTACGGGTCAGAAAATTGCGAAGAATGTCGTCTAACAAAAGCTAGCATTGCGAGAGAGTTTGAGATGGTATAATTTATATGCGCATTAAAATTAAACTTGGAATCAAAAAACACTCCCAAGTCTTTAAACACATAGGTTTAGGTAGTTTAGAGAACGTGGCTTTGTGGCATTTATTGATGTTAAGGAAGAGATGATTCTTGGAGCACCAATTATAGAGGTTGTTGAGTTCAGATTGAAGACTGACCGAGTCGCTATGACATCTAACCTCAGAGTATACTTTCAGGTCGTCCGCGTAAAGAAGAAAACGAGCTGAAGAGAAACACGACGATACATCATTGATAAAAAGAATGAAAAACAATGGGCCCAAGATACTACCCTGAGGAACTCCAGAGGTTGCAATAAATGGTTTAGATGAGAGACCATCTATAACAACACTAGAACTCCTATTTTCCAAATACGACTTGATCCATTTCAAAAAAACAGAATGGAAACCAAAATTGGCTAGTTTACAACCAATATTTTGTGGGAAATTTTATCGAAGGCTTTGGAGAAATCGGTGTAAATCACATCAACCTGATAGCCACGTCGGAAAGTCGCAAAGCAGTCCTCTGTAAAAACTGAGAGATTAGTTAACGTGGATCTGGCCGCCACGAACCCATGTTGGTTAGGACTAATCAAATGCTTCACAATGAAATGCAACTTATTGTTTATAATGCATTCGAATAGTTTTGAGACCGACGATAGCTTTGAAATTGGCCTATAATTCGTAATATCGCTTTTACTGCCACTTTTAAACACTGGGGTTATAGTAGTACGTTTCCAATCATTTATGAAGGTACCTGTAGATAGAGACTATTATATATTAAAGTGAGCGGTGTCGCTAAGATGCACAATTTTTCAGCAGTATGACTGAAAGACCATCCACATCAGTCCGTGAGGAATTTTTAATTTTATTTATGCCTTCTATAACGTCAGCCTCCGTGAGAGTGAGTGATCCAAAATCAAAAATTGAAAATAAGTTATTAGAGTGGTTTCGACGAATGCTATTCAAATCTTCATCAAGAACACCATCATCAGTCGCAAAATTAGATGAGAAGAAGTCAGCAAATAGATTAGATGCTTCACTCACGGAGGATGCAGTGACACCATTATAGAAAATATTTTTGGGAATGCTACACATATTTTTCCTAGACTGAATATAATTCCAAAAATTCTTTGGGTTATCTTTGATATTTAATTCAAAATTACGAATGTAGTTATTATATAGGTCCTTATTTAACAGGGAGAATTTATACTTATAAGAAATATACAAATCATAAAAATGCCGATTATTGGATGACTTGTACCTCTTAAAGTACTTGTTCCTCAAATTTTTTAAATGCACGAGCTTAGTCGAGTGCCACGGAAGCTGATATTTTTTCCGCGAGTAAACAGGCACAACTTTAGAGCACACTTCCGTAATTGAGCTTTTGAAAATTTTAAAGCAGCCATCCACTTCACTCTCACCAAACATAGCATCCCAATCAAATTCACTGAAAACATTATCTAACCTGCCAAAATCACAACGAGCGTAATTAAACAAAAACCTTCATATTTTGATGTTTCATATAATTTGTGTATAAGTTAACTAAACTCGACACTTCAAGCAGGTGGCAACCTTGTTCAAAATATTTTCAAACCATGTGGTGATACATACATACTAACCTATTTCCTTTAATTTAAATTGAATTTTATTTTTTAAACAGATGGCAACCCTCCAATAGGTTAGTCAAAAAACAAAGTTTTTCAAAACCATTTCGATTAATACCCATTTTGAATAATTGATCAATTTTTTTAAATAATTTGAATATAGATAAGTTTTTAAAAGGTTGCAACTCTTTTCAAAAAAATAAATCCTTATTGCACATCTACAGCCCGAGTCCTTTAAGTTGACACCTCACTTTTGAAAATTGAACGAACGGTACGGATTTGATGGTATTGGTTATTGAAAATTTTGATTTTAATTGTACAACAGGTGGCAAATCTTTTCGAAAAGATAAAACTAGTTTGCACATCTACAGGCCAATCGCTTTAATTTGACACCCTATTTTTGAAAATCGAACAGTTCTTTTATGCTGGACAAAAAATGCCTTCGCGTTTTATATATATAGAAAGATAAAACCGGTTTATCCGGTTTTTTCTCCATATGCAAATGGGGAACCCGGTTTTTAACATATTTGTAATTTTTCGAATAACTCTGAAACTGATTTAAGAAAAAAAGCAATATCGAACACCCTAACGTACGTAATAATCTGTATGCGACACTCACCGATTTGAAATGGCTTGCTGACGTAGTGCGTATGTTGGGTATTCGAAATCTAAATATTTCCACTCATTTACGATCTGAAAAGATTCCGTAACGTGCGTTGTCGGTGTTGGCCCAACGACTTCATTTCCACTGTAACCTTCACCCACGCCGCCAGTGGGTAGCGAGTTTCCGTACGCCGTTGAGATTGTGCGAGTGAAGCTACTTCCTAGTGGCGTTGGTCCAATTAATGTAGATATTTGGTCCAGGGATCCCTGCACGTTCAGGCCCCTGCCAAGAGGAGACTGCCAGAAGCTCCCATTTGTTGGGATCGACGCGTAAAGGTGGACGTTAGTAGTTTCAACTGCAGTCACAACAACCAAGCTGATACTTAGCCCTAGTGTATAGTATAATTGCAGACTAGTAGTCATTTGTGCCAACAACTTCACTTTTGCACAAGAATTGCTTTTCAATAATTTTGTGTGGCCGTCGCGTACGCAGCCTCAAACGCGTTTGGGCTAATTTTTAAAACGTCATAACAGCGCAATCATTTACTCCAATTGCTTCTCTGGGTTACGCTGCGTTTACATAAGACAATTCGAGGCAAGACAATTGAGAATATGTATTAGTCGTCAAATTGTGTATAGTAGGCGTCCAGACAAATAAAAAGACAATATATTTTGCGTTTGGCATGAATTTAATATTATTTACTAAAATATCCAAGCACAAAACACTTTTTCATAATTCTGTAATTTTTTACGATTTTGTTTTGCCTCTTTTTCTCAAATTAACCAAGACGTGACCGAATTGTCCAATTTACTGTCCAATTCACCGTCTTCGATTTTTCGAAGTGACGAAGACAATGATGTATTGCAGTGCATGTATTGCCTTTGTCTTCGCAAAATTGTCCTATGTAAACACCAAGTTAAGGCCGCTCGCTCGTTCGTGAGGCGAAAGAGCGATTGCTTTTAAATTTATAAAATAATACAAAATAAATCAAAAAACGCAACGAGCTGCAAATACACAAATTGTTACAAACCAATAAACTGGTCTGGATTTGATACTTGTACTAGCTCATATGCACATATGTATGTGTGTACATATGTATGTATTTACATATGTATATGCATGAAAGTATGTACATATTTATTTCGAAATCATTGCGATACATGATCATGTTTTCTAACCGTACATTAGTGCGCGGATTAGTAGCAGCAATCTGATGAAATTCAGTTAACCGCCTAGCAAGTAAAGTTTTAGTATTTTTATTTGGAAGCGTATGCACTCGCGTTTTTATAACATGTCGAAACTCAAGTGAATATACGTAGTCAAAATGATTTCGCTCCACCTTATCAGACACTTTGTTTTCAGTCGATTAATATTTTTACTTTTTGGTCACAAATTAATCATCTTACTTGTAAACTTATGTAACTTTAGAGACCTATAATACAATTAAGCTAGCAAATTTTCGTATAATATTTTACCCCCTTAACACTTACCGTAATGTTTTCGTTGCACCCTTATTTTGAAATAGTTCTCGTAAGTTCATTAGAAACCGCATTTTTCTAAGCGTCACCTAAGAAAAAATTATCCGTTTTATTAAAACATGAAGCAATGTAAACAACATAAACGGCCAAACATCCATAAACATATATGTATATGTTAACGTATTTTTTTACATCAGTAAATATATAGTTTAGCACTATAACAGCCTAGAATAAAAATAAATCTTTGCACCTGCATCTTCACGAAAAGAAAACAATGTCCTTTAGAGAAAAAGATGGATGCAATTCGCATATGGGTGTTTTCATGGTGTCGGATGTAAAACTCGTACGTCTTTATCACGTCACTTATAAAGCAAGTAAAGAAATATAAGTTCGGGCGAAGCCGAATTGTATACAGGGTGTCTCAGAAGTAACGTGGCAAACTTTAGGGGAAGGTAGGTGGGGGGGTGAGGTCTTTGATAAACAAAAAAATTTCAGGTAAAAGTGTCACCGTTTTTGAAATATTTAAATTTTTTTAATTTAAAAAAAATTGGCCTTTTCATGTATTTTCTTTAACTGCATCTACAAACCAGGCTATACTTAGTAAATTTTTTATGTAAAATACTTCCAGATAGTTGCTTCTCCATACTCAAATGCAATGTAGTTAAAATATATTAAGGAACCATCATAAAATTAGGACTATTTTGGGATTTTTAACTTTTTAATATTTTCTTCCCCAACTTTGACTATCTCGGGTGAAAAAAAATGTACTGAGCTATAACTTTACGTTACATAACAAAATTGCTCATTTAATAAAGGTTTCAGAAAGGTGCCACTCTTACTGTTTCGAATAGAAAAAAAAAGTTATAGCGGCTTTTGTGGGCAAAGGACTGAGACACGCTAGAATGTATTTAATAGATTTAAATTTAAGTTGCTCTTGTTACCGACCAATGACATGCTAAATAGTACAAAGGTACATTATTACCTGAGTTTTCGTGTTTCTGTAAATTACTGTTATATAGGAGGTGGGCGTGGCTATTGCCCGATTTCAAGGCTCGTACCGAGTTTGGTAAGGATTGAAGAAGCTGCTACTAAGATAAAGCATTTCATCATAGGTGGGCGGGGTCACGCCCCCTTTCCACAAGTTTCATACTAATATTATTTTGAACCAAAATTTTACTTCACATACTAATTAACTGAAATAGCATAGTTTTTGCATTTTTCGAAAATACCGTTATATGAGAAGGGGGCGTGGTTACAGTGCGATTTCACCCATTTTCAATAGTAACCTACCTTGGATAAAGGGCAACCTATGTACCAAATTTGGTTCAGATATCTCAATTTGCTCTCGTGTACATGGACAGACGGACGGACGGACAGGCAGAGATTGCTTAATCGACTTCATCTATCTCGATTCTTTAGACTTTTACAAACAACCGTTATGCGAACAAAGTTATACTACCCTGTGCACAGGTGCTTTCCTACCGTCCCACATAGAGGTATTTGCACGATTTAGGCAGGTATACACCAATTTGACAAAACTTAAACTTAAACTTAAAAAATTAGTCACATTTGATTGATAACATTCCAAATAACATCTCCCAGTCCCCCTCATTTTTCTAACTTGCCGGAAACCGGAAACAGAATATCCTAACGCTGCTTATAAATACTTTTTGCTCTCTAGAAAGGTCGTGACGGTTTTGAATTCTGCATTGTATTCTTCAAAAGTAGTGATGGCTCCGGATACAGAAGGTAATAACACATATAATTGTTACATTTATCTAACCATTTTATTAAGTAAAAGCTCTATTTAAATGTAACAAAAAAAGCGGTTTTCAACGAGTATATTTTTGAATTTATGTTGAATATTAAGGAATTTGTTGTATCCCCGAGAGAGATCGCGTTATTGTTCTTTGTTCAATTGAAAGCTTAGAAATTTGGCTAGTGGAGTGTTAAGAGATTGTCCGCAGAAAATGGCAGATAAATGATATCTCTTTACTTAGAAAATATATTGAACAAAAATCTAAAAACGCAACTAGTATATAGTAACACTACTTTAGATCTATTTTAACACTAAAATTAAACTTTCTAGATGAGTTTGAAGCCGCTGAACCAGAATATGCCAGCTGGCGACGACATCGATATTATCGGTAAAGGGCTACGTCTGTTCTGTCTTCTCGGGATTGGATAGAGAAGCAAATGGGTCTGGTGGTGAACGAGGACAAAACGAAGTATCTCCTGTTATCACACAAACAGTCGGAGCATACGCGTCTTGGCACCCACGTCACTGTTGACAGTTACAAGTTTTAAAAAGTAGACGGCTTCGTTTATTTGGGAACCAGCAATAACACCAATAATAATGTCAGTCCAATGGAGAATCACTCTTGCCAACAAGTGCTACTTTGGGCTGAGTAGGCAATTGAGAAGTAAAGTCCTCTCTCGTCGTACAAAGATCACACTCTATAAGTCACTCATCATGCCTGTGCTGGTGTATGGCGCGGAAGCATGGACAATGAAAGCATCTGATGAGGCGGCTCTTGGAGTTTTCGAGAGAAAGATTCTGCGAAAGATTTACGGACCTTTACGCGTTGGTGATGGCGAATATCGCAGACGATTTAACGATGAGCTGTATGAGCTTCACAACGATATAGACATAGTGCAGCGAAATAAAATTCAGCGGCTCCGCTGGCTTGGCCATGTCGTTCGAATGGACAGAAACGCTCCTGCTATGAAAATATTCAACGCGGGCCGGGATACTGGTAACAGAGGAAGAGGAAGGCCTCATCTGCATTGGAATGACCAGGTGGACTTTGCTTCACTTGGAATTTCCAATTGGCGTCAATTAGCACAGAAAAGAAATAACTGGCGTGCTTCGTTGGACTCGGTCAAAATTGCTTGGCGATTACAGCGCAAATAAAGAAGAAGAAGAAGAACCAGAATATGAATCCATTTAATAAAAAAAAATAGTTTTTGAGATATAAGAAAAAGTCATGTTTTCTAGGACCTTTCGGTCCTGTTTCTAGAAATCTGCGGGAATGTGAGGCGCACGGAACTATGTTATTTATTTCGGAATAAAGACTTGTTTCCGTTTACATTGCTGTTATACAAGTGATGATTAAAGAAATAGTATTGGGTTTACAAGCGTTTAAATTAAGGTAAATATAAATTTAGATAAATCTACGATATTTCACTAAATATTGTATCCAAATTGTTGAAAATTGGTATGTGAAGTAAAATTTTGGAACTTAAGTATGATGAAATGCTGTATCTCATTATCCGCTTCACCAATCCGTACCAAACTCGGTATGAGCCTTGCTTAGGCTATATCTACCATATCTGGTAAAAATCCTTGAAATCGGGCGATAACCACGCCCACTTCCCATGTAACTGTAATTTACAGAAACATGAAAACTGCGATAAATCAGTAACTACTGAAGTTAATTCACTCAAAATCGATTCTTGGGATAACCTCTAAGCATTAAATTATAATACTATAAATATATATCTCGGATTTATCAATTTGTACCAAACTCGGAGCACTTAATAGCCTTGGTATGGAAAAGCAATACGTTGAAAATACGAAAACTCCGATACTTCAGTAACTGAGGACGCTAATTTATTCCAAGCTAATATATACTTTCTACATTCTTTTAACAATAAATGAGACTTTTATATTACTATTATTATTATAAACATATAGTTTTATTACATTTTCTTACCTATACTGTGACACATATTTGAATTATCTAATTCCCTAAATTAAAGTTGAATTTGATTTTTGAAACGGGTGGCAACCCTGGGAGGTTGCTTAAGGATAAAGTCTTTTCAAATCCATTTCCATTGATACCCACATTGCAGCAATTCATTTAACTAATTAAACAAAAAATTTTAACAGGCGGCAACTCTGTTAATATTTTAACCAGGGATGTGCCGGATAGAGATTTTGCAGGATAACCGAAATCCGGAAATCCTGTAAAAAATAAGAGCCGGATTCGGATATCCGATCGGATATCCGGTAACTGCTTCCCTTAATAAATTTTACAATATTTTTATATTAGGTCTTTTTTTGTTTAGCTAGATTATCTGATTTTTCGAGCTGAACTACTCAATACGTAATTAGGAATAAAAAATTTCTCCTCTGAAATCCAAGTTATTATATAATCCTGTATTAAAAGATAACTTCTCCGTCTGCAACCCGGATTTTTCGATTATTTTAAAATGTGAAAATCGAGCTAATATGCATGGTTAAATATCGTTTCGCTTACCGAATCGCCCGGTAAGACTTCATTGTTGCAATATTTTGTGACACTTGTTTCAAAACTCGTTTTCTTTTCTGACATCAATAAATCTAAAAACTGGGTATATGGGGAACTAAATAATTCGAAAATATAAATTAGTTAGCATGGAGAAACCTGCTGAATCA